GTCTGGTGTACCTTGGTGATCAGAGTTCACCGAGTATTTACTGTGCAGCAGCCCTGGGTACACGGGAGGGATATGTGCTACTGTGCAGAAAGTCCTGTCACTGTGTGGTGACAGCTCCAAGCTGCAGGTCTTGGGGGCAGAGGACTCAGGTGGAAGTGGGGGATCGGCATGCTTGCTCGAGAGGTGCAATGCAGCTGGGACTTGGTGTATTTGCAAACTCCTCCAGGGAGGCGGGATGGAGTGAGGTGGGTTGGATACCACGGGAGCTTGGAGGGAAACAGAGTGTCTGGGTGTGTGCCTGCACTGCTCTGCATCCCCCTCCTGATGGATGAGTTCAGTGAGGTGAGGGTGCAGACAACCTGGGCTGTCCTGTGGCTCAGGAGCGACAGGGGTCCCCGGAGAAGCAGCTTTTCTGGTGTGAACGAGAGAACAGAAGCAGAGATGGATAGAGACTGGAGAAAGAAAATTTTGCTCCTCTTAGGTCCCTCCACTCCACTGTGCAAGGCTCCGAATGCCAGGCCTCCCAGGCTTGGCCTGCCACCCTCCTACCCGGCTGCTACTCACAGAGGCACCGCCCCAGAAGGGGTACCAGCACTTCAGCACCACCAGGTGAAGGCCCTTGACTGTGCCAGCCAGGAAGCCCCCAAAGAACAGGTGTGACAGGGCGATAACAACCTGGAAGGCCTGGGTAGGAGATAATGAACAGGTGAGGCAAGCCTGCCCCTAAGTGGGCCCCTCAGTGCCCTAGGCCTCCCAGCTGCCGTGAGTTCCCTTCCTATTGCCCAAAGGAGTCCAGTCAGCAGAGTAGGGACCTAGCCAGGATTCCCCATGGGAGGCCATCTCTCATGGAGCTGACTATGCAGGGCTGGGCTCCTCCCCGCGGTTCCTCGTGCTCCAGCTCACAGGGTGGCAGGTGCAGGCTGCTGTCCCCAGCCCCCAGCACTCAGCTCTGGGCTGAGTGTGAAGCAGACGGCTGGGAGCTTCCTCCTCTCTCTCCTCCTCCTCCTCAGGGCTCCCCAGCAGCCATCCCCTGTAGCTCTCTTTCTGCTCTGCCAGGGCCCGGGCAATGGCACTCACACCCAGCTCCTGGAGAAGGCTGCTCCTCTTCCGGGGCTTCTCTTGGTGCCAGCTGGGAGCCAGAAACTGGGACTGGGTTACTTGCTGGGGCTGCGTGGGGCTGAAGGCCTGCCATGGTGGGGTCAGCCCCGCCCCAGAGGTGGAAATAACCACACCTGCTCTGTGGGCTTCTGCCATGCACGCAGACCAGGGTCCTTGCCTGGGGACCAGGAAGAAGGCTCCATCAGAACCCAGGGCATTTGTGAGGCTCCTGCCTGCCTGGGGCTCTGCCTGTCACCTCTGCCCCCTGGGCTGGGGTCTTCCGGAGTCCCAACCTCCGTTGGATCTGGGATAATCTGGCCTTTGGGGATGGGGAGTAGCCATGCTCGCAGTCTTTCTGGGGTTGCCAGGATGTAGCTCCTTGTGGGGTAGAAAGAGGGGGCCTGGGCCAGGTGCTCCAGACCACCACAGTGGGCAGACCCCACTGGATGAGCTGGGGCCTGATTCTGCCTCTACTCCCAGGAGCTTTGGTCTTGGACAGCTCCGCGTGTCTTGTGGGGATCAAATCGGACAACGTCTGTCACAGGCCAGCCAGCCAGGGTCCCTCCACCCAGGGCCATCTGCTCTGTGAAGGTCGACCCATTCCTTGCTTTTCACCAGGGGTGGTGGGCTCACTGCTTCCTGCTCCTTCTGCATGCAGAAAACAGCTCACCCATGCAAGTGCCAACGCCAGCTTGCACCCAGTCTCTCCAGGTAAGTGCCAGGGGTTCACCAGCAGGAGGCAGAGTGCCTACTCTTGGGGCTGGTGGTGGTTGGGGGAAGGCAGGATCCCAGTCCTGGCCCCAGGTGAATTCTTCCCTGATGGGGCCCCCTCCCCTGCTCCCAGATCTCTCCCTGCAGTGGAGAGCCTCCCTTGGAAGATTCCAGCCTCCTCCCATTCCCCTTCTGCCACTGCTGTAGTCACTGATTGGTTCCTGGGAGTTTAAATTGCCTGCAGCCAACTATGGGGTGGTAGGGGGTATACAAAGGGTTACCCCCTTGCAACCCATTCCTCTTTGTTTCCCAGTGGGGGCTGCTCACCTGCTCTGGGCTCCCTGCTCTGTGCCTTGGTCCTGCCAATCGTGCAGCCTCTGGCTGGAGCCACTCTGCCTGGCCAGACGGCACCAGGAAATAAGAACATCTGTAGGGCTTTCGACTTTGGATCCGCCTCCTGCTTCTACTGGCTGCAGGGGAGCCAGTCCCCATCCCCCACGGCCCCGGACAGGTGAAGATCCCAGCATCACTGGGAGACCAGTCTGTATTTTACTGCTGCCAGCTTCCTCTGGCAAGTAGACCTGAGCCGACCTCAGCTGTTCAGTGGGCTGGAGGGAAGGAGCGCATGTGGTTGCAGCCAGCGCAGGGTCAGAGGCTGAGTGTTTTGATGACATCTGCCAGGTCAGTCCCTGGGCCCTTCCCAAACTGAACCATTGAGAGCCTATCTTGTCCCCCCCCCCCCTCCGGCAGCAGGTAAAGCTGAAATGTGACAGCAGGTGAGAGGTAAAAGTGTTGAGTGACTCTGACTTTCCATTGTGAGTTCACTCCTCTGAATGGCTCCAATGGCCCTGGGCTGAGCCAACCTGAATCTAGGAGTCTGGAACTCTCATATGGATGGCAGGGATGCCAGCACTTGGGCTGCCTTCCACTGCCTGCCCAGGAACGTTAGCAGGGAGCTGGACTGGAAGCAGAGCAGCTGTGACTTGCACCAGCCCTCCTCTCATGTGGGATACGATGCCACAGGAGGTAGCACAGCCTTTGCACCACAAGACCAGTTCCCTGGGCACTCCTGTTGGCACATTTGGGCTGGCGCATGACCCTGCAGTCCCGCAGAGCTTGGCTGCATGTATGTCCAGCACTGACTTTGCTGATGGTGACCTGTGACACCCGAGTCAGAAAAAATGCATGGTGTCAGGTTCCTCCAGCCCTTGAGCCCTCGAGCCCTTGGCTTTTCCTCTGCCCTGGAGCTGCTGACGAGTGGATAAAGAGGGACACGGATTTGCTGCTGTGCCTGAGGTCATGGCCTCTGTGGGCTCTCAGGGGCACCGAGGCTGGGCAGCCGCATACTCCATGTGCGTGAGTAGCACTCCCACAGCCGGGTGGTGAGCACCTTCTCATCTGCCATGTCCTCCTGTGGCTGCGGTGAGATGTGAGGAGGCTGCCAGCTCTGTAAGGTCCACGTTCCTGGCCCCACCTGCCCATTGCAGCCCCCAGGCCCTCGTGTGGACTTTAGTCTGCAGGCAAAGCAGTGACAGGTGAGAAAGCTGTTATCTTGTCCAGAGGAGCTTTGGGGCTGGGGCAGGGGTTAGATTAGGAAGCTGATGTCACCATGATGACAGTGATAATGATGATGATGGGTCAAAGGTGCAGGTTGGGAAGGGGGGATGGGTGGATAGACCGAACTGAGAAATTCCAGAGAGGAGGGGCAGGAAGCACTTGAGTATGGACAGAGAGAGGGAGCCCAAGCAGGGCGCTGACACGGGGCTGGGCCACAGGGGAGTCTGTGGTGACACAAGCAGTCCTGCAGCGGGGCGTGGAGGCAGACAGAGACGAGGCTGGGGGAGCCGTCTGAAGGCTGGCGACCGTGAACTCCATGGGAGCTCCCACGTTCTGTGCACCTGCTGGGTGCATCATCCAACTCCATCAGAGGCGATCTCGGGGGCATGCGTGGTTGTGTGTAGGCTGAGCCCAGAGTGAGTGTTCTCATCCAATGATTCACTCCCTGAATGCCTCGGCCAGAGTGAGTCCAGGCAAAAGCTGGGCACTGGGAATTCAACCCAAGTCTCCCACGTGAGTGGCAGGGACCCACATACTTGAGTGGTCCTCTGCTGGCCCCCCCGGGTGTCACACCAGCAGGAAGCCCGTGCTGGGAGCAGAGCTGGGGCTCAGATCTGGGGTACAGGTGTCCTCACGTACCATCTCATCCCCTCGGCCAAGCACCTGCTCCTATTTGGAGCTTGTAAGAGAAGCAGGTGTTTGTCATATGGAGAAGCGCATGCGGTGAGGGGCGCAGCCGTAGACCAGTGTGTGAGATGAAGAGCAAGCAGGAGAAGGAAGGACAGGAGTTGGTGGAAACCTAAGACAGTGACCCATGCCTTCTGATAAACACAAGCTCACCCTTGGAAGTCCCCCAGGTTAAGTCATCACACTCAGACCAGCTCAAAACGTAAGCCACCCTGTTTATTCTCTGCAGCACAGATGTGCCAGGTCACCTGTCAGGGCTGTGGGCATCTGTCTCCTGAAGTCCCAGCCCTGCCTCTGTGGGATTCCCCTGGGATATCCTGGCTCCTCAGGGCTGCAGGTTTGGGAGGGGGAACACAGAGACATCCCAGGCTGACCCATGGGGGGAGATTACCTTCACTGGGCAGCTGTCCCTGTTGGTTGTTGGTGGTGGGCAGGGCCGGAGTAGGCGGGCTTCAGCCTCCCCTGCCCTGACAGGTGAATGGACTGGAGTGGGTATGGTCAATAAGGGGAAATGAGAGACTTGAGGAGCCCAGGGCAGCTGGACGGGCCTTCCAGGCCATCCTGCTCCATGCCAGCCTGACCCCACAGACGTTGCCACTGACGACAGGACAGCGTTGCTCTCACGGTCACGAGACCACGGTCAGGACCATGGCCCTGCTGCGTGGCCCCTGCCTGCCCTATTCCTTGTATGAAATGTCTGGAAGTTGCTGGGCAGGCCAGAGCAGGCCTTGAACCCATGTCTCCTAGGGGGCTGGAACTTTCAGGAATGAGTTAGAGAAAGCAAGAGCAGCTGTTCCCAGAAAGGGGCTGAGGGAGGAGGACACACCTGGCCATGAGCCTTCTAGGACAACCACCACTGTGGGAGGGGGTGGTACACAGGAGGCGGGGAGGAGTGGGGGCTGGCACCGCCAGGAGATGCTCGGTTTCAACCCTCCGACCTTGAGGGGCTACTCGGATGACTCCTTGGGCATATACGCCACGTTGTCATAAGCGGGGGGTGGGGAGGCAGCTGGGCTGGGGATGCTGAAGTCCGTGCTGAAGGCGTTCGGGAGGAAAATCACGGGCTGGGAAGAAAATACCAACCCCAAACCAGTGCCAAGTGCCTGAGGACGCCAGGCCTGCAGGGTGGCGTGACCACGGCGTCCCCTGGTGGGCACTGAGAGAACAGCGTCCTGGTGGGGAATGGGGCGAGTCCGGGTTTCCTGGGACTACAGCAGTGAACCACACAGACAGGGCGATCCACTTCTCCGGAGCTCAAGTCCTGGCGTCCCTTTGGTGGACCGCCCCCGCCCCGGTTCAGGGCCTCTTGTTTGGACCACAGCGCTCCCCCGCCTCCGCCACCCCCCCATCAGTTTCCCCCAACCCGGCTGCCTCACCTCCCCCATGGCACACCTCCCCCATGGCACACCTCCCACGCAGCGCCGGACCCCCACCTGTCCTTTCCTATCAGATGCAGCCTCTGTTCCAACTACCCCCGGCCCCCAACTCCCAGCCCTGAATGCCTGCCCCCTTTCCACCTGCCTCCGTCTACATCGTCCCCCATTTTCTCGGAGTCCAAGCTCAGTTTCCACCTCCGTGGCTCTGCCCGTTCTGGCGGGGCAGACGGTCAGCGGGGATGAGCCCCCTTTTCTGGACCCAGCTTGGGGGGCTGCCTCCCTGCCCCTGGCATCGCAGAGCTGCTTGCCCGTGGGTGCTGGCGCCCTCCCGTGGCCATGGGGACACAGCGCCATCCTCCTGGATGGAGAGAGTCCTCCACAGCCCCAGGGACTCCCCAAGCACTGTCCCTTGTTCAGTGTTACACAAGGAGCAGGGAGGGGGCTGGAGGCAGCGAGCCTTCCCACACAACAGCTGTCCCCCCCGGAAGCTCAGCTTGGAGCACTCACCATGTTGGCTCGGTTGCGGGTGGCTTGGCACCCAAAGTGGGTAGCAATGACCGAGACGAAGAACTCCAGGATGGTGAAGATGGTGAGCACGGCCAGATAGCCCCTGCCCACATCCTGGGGACCAACGCCCACAGTGAGAGCGAGACAGGAGTTCTAGAGCAGGAGGTCCCCGAAAGAGGAAGCCGTGCCCACAGTCACCTGTGCTCCCACTGCCAGCCCGGAGCCCCCTCCTCCATGCCTGCCCACCCCAGGCTGCCTGTCCTTGGCTCCTGTCACAGGGTCAAGTGCCCACATTCCAACCTGCTCCTGGATCTGGCTCTCCTGTCCCCCAAGTTTATCAGTGTGGGGAACATGCAACAACACACCCAATGAGTGACCCCGAAGTCCATGAGCAGAATGGCCGTCCCAGCAAAGGCTGCCATGGCGCTGAGAATGTTGGTGCCCAGGCTGCTCCTTACCTGCAGGGGCGAGGGAGACGGGGGTTGGGGGGTGAGGCAGCAGTGGGCAGAAGAGGCAAAGGAAAGGAGAAGGGTCTGGCAGCGGATCCCACTGCCAAGGTTCCAGGTGCCAGGGGCCTCACTGCTGGGCACAGCTTACTCTTGGTGCCTCTCTCTCCTCCCTCCCTGGGACATCAGGAGGGTCCCTCCCTCCTGTTCCTTCCTGGAAGCTGTTGGTGGAAGCCGGAGGTGGGGAGCCCTACCAGCTGCCCTCCCCCCTCTCTCTGCTGGCCCGCTGTTGGGACTCACCAGGCAGCTGGTATGCTTCCTCTCGGCAGCCACTGACAGGGACCCGGAGATGATGAACTGTGGTGAGAGCGAGCCGAGTGAGGCTTGGGCCAGGGTGTGTCCTGCCTGGGCTCTGTCGCCAGGCCCCCAGGGACCAGGGGCAGTGCAGCGGAAGCAGCAGGAGTCTCCCAGTTGCCCCCACCCAGGGCCCTAGGGCTGCAAGTGCAAGACTAGGGTTTTCGCTGACATCACAGCTTGCCAGCCCTTTGGGGAAGGTGCAGTTCCCCAGCAGACACCTGCTGGGTTGCAGTCATGAGCTGTGCGCATCATGGAGTTGAGTAGGATGGATACACTCCCTGCCCTCACCATTGGGTAGGGGCAACCCTTAGCAGGTGAACAGTGACAAAGGCAGTGAGGAGATGGTGGCAAGGGGCTGCTGGCGGGGACAGGGAAGGCCTCTCTGGGCAGAGAGACCTGTGAGAGGATGCAGGACAATGGTGGCTTCCCATGGCCTATGTCCTGGTGCCCACGCTGTGCCAGCTCAGGCTCTGACACAGCCTGCCAGCTTCTGGGTTTGCACCCAGAGGCCATGCTGGGGAGCCTCCACGGAGAGGCCATTGTGCAGCAACATGGATGGGGGAGGCCCTGTTGTAAAGACAGGAAACCAGGGAGGGGCCACCACAAGGGTGGACAAAGCCTTGCTATGCTCTCAAGGGCCGGCTGGGGCCATTGATGCTGGGGTGGGGGGTGGACAGAAAGGAATCTAGGAGGCTCCGTGGCTATTCTGAGCTCTGACTGCTGGAGGTGCTGTCGGCTGAGCTGGGGAGATGGGACTGGTGGCGGGGAGCAGGCTGGGAGCAGGGTAGGCACTATGAGCTGAGTCAGGATTCTGGGACATCCAGTGGTATGCTCTGGATAAGGCAACCGACCCGAGAGAGAGAGAGAGAGAGAGAGAGAGAGAGAGAGAGAGAGAGAGAGGCAGTGGCTTGCCCAGGGGTTGGACTCTGACCTCTCTGGACTCTATGGGGGGGTGCCTGGAGCTCTCCTCGAGGCAGCAGGAGCAGTAGAAGTGTCCCCAAGTCAGGTTCTAGAACCACCACTCACTATCTTCACCCACATCGCACATCTGAGTCCTTCTGTAAAAGGAGCCCTAGTGAAGGACATTGACCACAAGGGGCAGCATTGGGGGTTAACTATGTGGTGGAGTGGGGGTTCAGACCTCACCAGCCTGATCTCAAAGCTCAAGCTTCCTGGGGTGGGGGGGCTTGGGAAGGAGTCCGGCCAAGGAGCCAACACCCGTGCAGTGTTCACGCAAACGCTGCCACGCTCTCTCCACCCGCAGGACCACAGTGACACTTCTCTGATGGGCCTGGCCAGGGTGTGGTCACAGGAGTGGGACTGGGGCTCAGGTCTCGCCAGCCACACCTCCAGGGAATGGCACAGGTGCCTCCCAACCCCAGGGAGAACTGAGGGGTTCTGCAGGTGGAGTACCGAGGGTGCCCTGTACCTCCTCTTCTACAGCTTTCTCTGGCAGCCTGCACACATAGAACTGGTCAGGTTTGGGTTTATATTGAGAGTTTGGGCTAAGGGGTCCCGTGTCCTGCCAGAAGCTGCGAGCGGGAGGCGGTGGGAGTGGAGTGGGGTGACCCCGGATGACTCCCCCTCCCAGCCACAGCACCCAGCCACCGTCCCTCTAGTCCCGGTACTCACGCAGGCTCCTCCCCAGAAGGGGACACCGCCGTCTATGAACAGCATCCCCAGCGGGCCGCGGCGGACCGTGAGCAGCACACTACCAAAGCCCAGGTGGATGAGGCCTACGAGGATCTGCACGGTCTGTAGGGGGCGCCACGGCTCAGTGTGCGGGCAGGCCGGGCTGGGCTCTGCACCCTGCCACCTGGCCGTGGGCGCCCCCAGGTACTAACAAACTCAGATTCTGGCCAACAGAGGTGACAGGAGTACAGATTTAAAAAGCAAGCCCGCTGCCGGCTCTACGCTCCTGGCTCTCTGCAGCCTGAGCCCAGCACCCGGCTCTGCCTACCCTGAAGGCTATAGCTACAGCAGCTGGCTGGCTTCCAGCCCGGAGGAGACATCTCCTGGCCAGCCCTTCTCCTTCCCTGACCACTTCCTGCAAGGTGTTGCACCTGCCTCCCACCTGGCTGACTCTCAGCCTCCATTTGCTTTTCAATAGCCCCCCTGCCCCATTGCTCTCCAACAGCTCCCTATAGCGTTCCCAGAGGTGCGATGGTTTTCCTAAGGGTGTGTGTGTGTGGGGGGGGGACACGTGGGTCTCAGGAGTATTCTGCCACATGACCTCCTGTAACCTGTGGAGCAGGGTATGAAGAGATGTGGAAGATTCCTGAATGCAGCCAGGGCCCATCCCAGCATCCCCTTCCATGCATTGGCACCAGCAGGGCTGTCCCACGAGCAGTTCTGTCTGGGTGTCTGGCATCCCGATATGTAGAAGCATGGCCCTCCAAGCCTTCTGCTGTGGCTTCAGCTGCCAACCTCTCTTGGGCTTCCTAGGTGGTGTGGCCACCCAGCTGCCGCCATTGCCCTCCTTCCTGCTGGGTCTTCATCTGGAACTCTTCTGATTGGTCCTTGATACACACTAGCTTGCCACTGAGCCAATGCCCAATCTGCACTATGCCCTGGGCTGGGTATGTAACAGATACAATCTCATTGAGTCTCAAAATGGGAGGAGTGTACCAGACCAAGGCCCAGAGCTGCCCAAGCTCTCCCAGCTAGGAAGTAGCAGACTGGTCAAAGCTGAGGCCAACGTCTCCCTTTCTGCAGAGTACTTCCTGTCTATCTTGCACGTTCTGTGTTTCGTGTGCCTCTGGGAGATGTCGTCATTCCCTGAGACTGCTCTGAGGTTTCAGGACTGCAGCAGCCGATGCCCCTTTGTGTGTAGAATTCTGCATTTCAGCTGACTTCAAGCCTGAGATGCTGTGCGTTTACAGAGTGGTGGGGTTGAAAGTGGAACTTTTGGGTCAGGCCATCCTAGCTGCAGGGTACCACTTCCAGCTGGGTTTCCTGACACAGCCAATAGGAGCCATGAGCCCCACCTCACAAGGTGGAGTGGGAACCCAAGAGGTGGCCCAGGGCACACACCTCTCAGAGAGCCCAAGCACACAGGTGCTGTCACCATCACCATCGCTTGTAAAATTTTCGTCTTCCACTTGGGAAAAATGGAGGCCAGTGGACAAAGTGAAGAATCTAGGGTTGTGGGTGCATATTCAACTGTAAGCACAGAGTGAAACAAGCAAGCGGCTACTAGCCCATCACCTTCATTCGGTCCTTTGTAAGGTAAACCCAACCTGGAACTGTATTATTATTATTATTATTAGTTAACAAATATCTGGGTTCCTGCCAACCACAGACAGCTGAGCTCCAGCCAGTCACGGGCAACCAGAGGATGCCAAAATGAGGCAGAAACCAGTTGAGGCCAATCAGGTGGTTTCTTGATGTTTCCATGTCCTGCCTTTTCAGACTTACTGCTCACATGGCTGGGTGGAACCTGTCACGGTTCTGAGGGCTGACCCATTGATGTGTTGTTCTTTGTTCAAGGAAGCTCTACCATCCTTAGACTTTTTCTTTCTAACAGCACTCACATCTGAGCCTATCCATCGTCTGTGTCTATTCTTGCATTCCCTCCCAGAGACCAAGGTCATGGCATTTGGACAAGCGCTTGGAGACCATGTCTGAGGCATTCTCAGTCCTGCAGCTCCGTCTACCTCCTCCAGACGCATGCCTCTCCCTCCTCCCTTTGTGCTAGCGTTCTCCACCTGCCTCAAGGCGCACTCATTCCCATCTCTGCTCTACCTGGCAGAGCCTCCCCCACCCCTCCCCTGGCCCTTCCCTTGGCAGCTTCAACCTGGCAGGCAGATACTGGCTTAAATATCATCTCCCCGGAGGGTATTTACTGTCCATCCTGGCTGGTGCTGTGCCTTTCCCATCCCTCATTTTTAACCTCTTCACCTTCTCTGGGGGTGTTTGAGTCCTCTTTTTAGTAGACTAGGGTGGGGCCTTGTCCGTGTGGCACACAGTGGAATCTCCATGCCTCCTGCATGTTTATTGGCTGCTCCCCCTCCAAGGTGTGCATGGATGCTCCACGGCTGTGTATTCATTACATACCCATCACCCAAGCTCCCTGTCATTGGGCCAGGTGGTTCTTACCCCTAACGCTTTGGGCTCTCCGGTCAGGAACGCGTCCACAGGCCGGAGGTCTGGCGGCTGGGTGGTCTGAGGTGTCTGCGCCCCCAGTGGTGGCTCCTCGAATTGCATCACCCCTGGGGGCTGGCACATGGAGGGGGGTAGCATGGCTGGAGGCGGGCGTAGGCTGCTGGCATTGCTGGGTGGGAGGACGACGAAGACCCCATTGCTGGCGGCAGGTGCAGACATAGTGCTTACGGAACTTGGGAGACAAAGAGGGCGATGTTGATGATCACACATTTACATGAAGGCCAAACCCTTACATCAGAGTAGGGGAAGCAGAGGTTGGGGCCTCCAGGTGGGGTGAGGCTGAGCTTTGGTCTCTCTGGTCCCAGAAACCCTGCTGTTTATCTCTGGGTTATACAATGCTGCAAGGAACTTGTGGGCTTCATTGCCCACAGAGAGGGCACGTGACTTGCCAAAGACACACAGCTGGTGTGGGGTGAGCTTAGCCAGTGCGCCTCTGGACCAGGACTCACACAGCCCTCCCTGCCTCCCAGCCCAGGCTGTCAGTCTCCAGCACATGACTCCCCTGGTGATGTTCCTGTTGTAAGAGGGTTTCTCTGTGGATGCCAAAGCAGTTGCTGGGGCGAGGTAGTTAAGACCTACAAGGATTACAAAGACTTCAGGGGTGTTTGTCTTGGGCTAACGCTTAGTGGGAAAAGCTACTCTTTTAGTCTACATGTCAGAAAGTGAGCTGAGCAAGATGGTTGTGGCATATTCTACAATGATGTGTCCAACAGCCATATTCACACGGGATGTTATGTCCTCCAGCCATGTGAAGCTGTGCCATCTACTCCTCCCCATGACTGGCCTTGTGGTTGGCATGGGTGGGTAAAGGGTCTAGGGCAGGTGTCCCAGTCACTGTGAGATGTGGTTGGGGGGTGGGCAAGACAACCACCTCCTCTGCCTCGGTGTCCTTACCTTCAAAGTGGGCATGACCCTGGCACCACCTCTTAGGGATTGCTGTGATTTAGGCCAGACCAACACATGCAAATCTGAGAAACACCATCCCTTACAGGGCGATTTGTGATGTTATTTGCTTGAAATCCATCCTTCAGTGTAACATATCAGCCAGTGATTTGGAACAGCACATGTGTGCTTTGCCCAGTGCCCCAAGAACGGCTGTTCACACTCCCCAGAGGAAGAGCCGGCCTCCAGGGCAGGCAGCGAATGCCCTGAGGTTCTGCACGGGTTCTCAGGTGACGAGGATTTGTCCTCGCAGTTTTGGGGTGATTGCATCATCATGATGTGTGTCCTCTGGGCAGTGGGTTCTGGTTTTGGGGAACAGGATTTGTGAAGCAAGATTTCTGGTGACTGACTGGGAACAGCTCCAAGGAAATGGTTGAGGACATTGGTCGGCAGTGGGAGATGGTGGAAGGCGTCACGGACATTGGAAGGGCTTGCTCACACAGCGCCCTCTTGCCTGGGATGCGTGACCAGCTTGTGATGCCAAGAACTGTCTGATTGTCCCTTGATGGCCTGGATGGCACTCTCATTTTCAGAAATGTTTCTGAAATGACTGTTAGCAGACACAAACATGGCTGAGAACAGGTTTGGAAAGCTCTTTCTGCAAAGAGTCAGACGGCAAGTCTGACGTGGGCTTTGCAAGGCCACGTAGCTTTTCTTGCTGGGCTAGCAGACAGCTCTTTTGCTGCTGTACAAAGCAGACCCAGGCAACGCCTACGCAGATGGACGTGACTGTGTCCCAAGAAAACTTCATTTACCAACACAAATAGTGGACTGGATCTGATCTGTGGAACTGTAATCTGCCAGACTTGTTTTTAGGGCTATAGTAGCTGCTCCGTCTGAGCTTTGAATTGTCTAAGTTGATTGTCTGCTGTGGTTTTGGGCAAGATGTGAATCTGAACTGAGCTCCCTGAGGAGTCTGCATAGTAGGGGTTGTGCTGGCTGCTTTGTCTGCATCAGGAGGGCTTACAGTGAGGGTCAAATGCCAGATGGGAGGAGAAGGCCCTCGGAAACTGAGGTTCAGTTCAAACTTAGGGTGACAGTTGCCACTTTGGCTGATACTGTGTCTTATGTCTCACTTCTCTGGCTGGCTCAGTTCGCAGCACTGGGGCCCCGCACCATGTCAATGACGGTTCCAGGTCAGGCAGAGCTTAGGGTAGCTGTTTCCTGACACACTACTCAAGGTCCTTCAGATGTGCTATTTCTTATCCTCTGAATGACCCTTTGAGAATTCTAGGAGCTGATTTCACGGATGTGATGGTCATGGTGCTGATTAGTGAAGGGACATGTTCGTGGTGACTTGGTTGGTGAAAGGCAGGGCCAGATTTCAAATCCGAGTGCACCTATGTCCAAAGTTGGTATCTGTCCAAAGTTGGTATCTCTTGCTGGTCCCAGGGGCAGTCATGATCTGTTATTTTGCCCACTGTTCCTGCCCTTCCATTCTGGGTGCCCTAGACATGTTTTGGTCAAGTACCTATGAGTGGCAGTCACTTCCTACCTTCTGGGTGGACACAGTTATCAATGGGGGTTCCTTTGTGATCATGGCTGGGGTCTTAAACAGGGCCTGCTTTATCGTTCTGGGCCCCCAAATGAGCAGGGCCCCAGGGGACAGGGACTGCAAGGTTGATGTCCAGGAAGCCACTCAGATGTTTGTTACAGGAACACAAAGCGGCTGTTCCAGACTTACATCCCCCAGAAATGAGAGCGCATGTAAGGGGACAGAGCCCAGAGTCCATGCCCTTCAGCAGCCTGAAGCCTTCTGGGAGGAGCAAGAGAAATACACAATCTAACCCCTCTATGGCAAGGGAGTATCCTTGAGCGTAGAACTCAGGGGTGCCTGCCAGGAACACATGAGCCTGACACGGGGTTCCCAAATCTGCCACCTCTCACTCTAAGCCCCCCTTGTGTTACCTTCTTTCCTCTCTTCTCCCTTCTCTTTCTCCGTTCGCAGGTCACCTCGCAACTCAATCCCTGTTTTGCTGGTGTTCACAGCTGAGGCCTTTGGGGGACCTAGGAATCCAATGGATGGATTCTCAACTTAATTTAGTTTAAAGCTTTTTCTTCCTCTCTCTCTTTTTTTTTAATAATTTTAAAGTAGAGCCACAAAAAGGGAGGGAAAGAGAGGGAGAGGTCTCTCACCTGCTGGCTCACTCTCTCATTGGGCACAAGCGCCAGGAGCTGGGAACTCCACCTGGTCTCCTGCATGGGCGACAGGAACCTACGCACATGGGGCACCTACTGCTGCCTTCCCAGCAACCTCAGCAGGGAGCTGGTGCAGAAGCAGAGAAGCCGGGACTCGAACTGGGCCTCTGGTGTGAGATGTGAGTGTTGCAAGTGGCAGCTTCGCCCGCTCAGGGCTGTCGACTGGCCTTTCCCCACTGACATGTGTGAAAGCCCCATGTTCCCCACTCCAGAGGCCATGGCAGGAAAGCACTGCCCTGCAGGCAGGGGCTGGGGACATCTGTGGACACCGATCGTCTGAGGCTCCAGAACGCTGGGATGCAAGCCTGTGTTCTTAGTAAATGACCCCATCTTGGGTATTTAGTTAGACACCAATTATTTGGTCCTGCCAGATGGATTTGGGAAAATGACACAGTTGTTGAGGCCTTTGCTAAAATCTGGCCTTCCTGAGAATCCACAGGATTGAGAGGAGAGAGAAGAGGGCAGAGGGATGGAGAGTGTGGGTCCACCACACTGCCCACAGGTCCCGGCATCCTGAGGGGGAACTACTGAATGTGGGAAGCCCTCATCGGCTTGAGGGGGAGGTAGGTGGGCATACATCACTAGCTGTGAAGAAGAAACAAGATCAGAGAGGGTGAGCATTCCCCTCTGGGCACACAGCACTGCAGGGACAGACTCCATCTCCCTGTAGAAGGAGTGTTGTTTTTATGTGGAGTGTATACAGCCCCGGATCTGAGTCCTGATTTTGTCTCAGAGAACGAACCCATGCTAGCGCACCATTCCTCCGAGAGACAGTTCTCCAATGCCTGGCATCCAAAGTAGCAAATGGAAAACCAACGGGCACTCAGTGAATCTGTCAGCTCTCCACTTCCCCAAGCAGATTCACTTAGGAAACCACCCACACCTTCACTGTCACCGAGGAAGGTGGCCTGAAGACCGGTGAGCTGGGAAAGACAAGGACAAGGCCTGCACGCGGGGCCGGTCACAGTCCATGAGAACCTCCACTCTCGGCCCGGCTGCTGTCATTTCACTGTCTGAGGCCCATGGTGCCTTGTGGGTCTACGTGGGGCCATCCTTTAGGGTCTGGAAGGACCAGCGCCTTGGGTTCAGAGGGACTCCTCTGGGCTCCAGCAGCAGGTGGGGACTGAGCAGCCCCAGAAGGGAGCGTATGCATAATTAATGACTTCCCACCAGGCAGCGAGGTGAGAAATGTGATAAAACAGAGACCTCATGATTCTTTGGAGAAGCCACCTACAAAAATAGGTTCTCTGCCCACAGGCGGGTGGGTAAGCGGCGATCATAAGCATGTGGGTGTGAGAGTCACGGTTCCCTGATACTTGCAAACTCATTTTCTGATTCCCTGAGCCTTTCTGCTGCACCCAGAGGCCAGGGAGGCACCAACCCCTCTGCCCATACCTCTGCCCTGTGTCACCCACAAACAGAACTCTTTTCTCACTAAGTGATGAGCCCGCATTTCCCAAACACCAACGCAAGCCAGTCATGGTCAATCAGAAGGAAGAAAGGGATGGCCACGGCCCTTTGTCTCCCCGAGTTGGTCAGGCAGCTGTGGGTCGTCAGGGTCCCTCTCAGTCATAGTTCTCTACAGTTTAGAAAGAGCTGTGAGGTGCTTGGAACAGCCCTGTGAGGCCAGTGTGAGCTGGCCCAATTTGCAGACCAGTAAACAGAGTGTCAGAAATAGCCACAGGTGGAGGAACAGCATTTGGAGGCATGGGGTTGAGCTGCTGCTGCTGGAGACATGACATTCCGTATCGGAGTGCCAATTCTAGGGCCGGCTGCTCTGCTTCTGATACCTTCCTGTTGATGTGCCTGGGAAGGTAGCAGATGATGTCCCCAAGTACTTGGGCTCCTATCACCCATGGAGGGAAACTAGGGTGGAGTTTCTGGCTCCTGGTTTCTTCCTGGCTCAGATCTGGCAGTTGCAATCACCTGGAGAGCGAATCTGTAGATGCAAGGCATCTCTCTTTTATTCTCTCTCTGCCACTCTGCTGTTTGAATAAATTAATCTTAAGGAAACAGAGAAAGAA